AGCGGTCAAACTCTGGTTTATAGTACTTGTCAAACAGGGCCTGATAGCTAAGGTCAGGTCCACAGTCGTCGTATATATTATAGGGGTTGGGAGTACCCATCTGGACAATCTTGGTTGCATCGCATTTGCTTTAATTAACAAAAGTATAAAGGTACTATATTGTTAGTATAATATAATAATAAAAAATACTCAATCTTTTATGTACAGTAAATTAGAAATAGGATTTTTAAATAAAGATTATTCTAGGTAATTTATCTCTAGTGTGATATTACTTATTAATTATCGCCAACAAGCAAGGTCTCTTACGTTTGATTAGCAGGTGTAGTGAAATCGCACTGGTGTTCAACAGCACCGGCCTTACATTCGCAGCAATTCTCGATTTTGAGCTCATAATCAGCGGTTGTGATCAACCCGTGCGCCAATGCAAAGTCAAACCTGGACTGACCGTAGTTATCATCCTTTTCATCTTCTAAATAGCCGTTCCCTATGGCCAGCCCTTTACAAAACAAATAAAAATTTTAAACACATAAACACTAAAATTGTAACAATTGTCACAAACCTTTCAAATTGATGGTCGAGTTATGTTTGTATATCTGTTTGGCTAACATTGGTATATAAACTCCGGCATAACTCTCACCCGTTATGTAAAACTCATTTTTCTTAAGGTTTGGATATTTTTGGAAAAAACTTTCGAGAGATAAGTAGTTATCCAATGAAGTCGTCTCATCGTTATTCGTATAGTTATTATTCGAGTCATAACTAAATCCCGTTCCGGCCGGGGATTCAAGGTATAGGATGTTGGCCACAGTATTCCAACTGTGATCTAAATGCGATGCAACCAAGATTGTCCAGATGGGTACTCCCAACCCCTATAATATATACGACGACTGTGGACCTGACCTTAGCTATCAGGCCCTGTTTGACAAGTACTATAAACCAGAGTTTGACCGCTTAGGCCTAAGTTTTGCACCTAGTACAAACAAACTTGAATGTATAACATACGGGCATAAGGTTTATCTCAATACCGATGCCGTACGGAAAGCACTGCACGTACGCGAGGGTATCAAAGAGTGGTCGCCATGTGATGGACCCTACCATCAGACAGGAGGTGCCACTCGACAGCAACAAAACGCCAGGGATTTGATAAACACGTATAAAATCCCCAAATTTATTGTATATAACGGAGACTTTGACACCGTTTGCGACTTCATTAGTGACCAGAAGTTTGTCACTAATTTAGGGTTTAAGACAACTGAACATTACAGGTATTTCAAAGTATCAGGGTGTTGACAATTGTTATCTGATATATGATGTGTTTGATTAGGAAATGGACAGTTGATGGCACTTATGATGGAGTTATCGGCGGTTTTGTACAGAATTACGAGAAAGGGCTGAGCTTTGTGTTGGTTAGAGGGGCCGGACATATGGTGCCTCAGGATAAGCCAGAGGCCGGCCTACAAATCCTTAGAGCTTTGCTTGGATTAGCAAAACTATAATTGCGTAACAATTTAAGCCAGTCAATTCTCAAAACTAAAATTAAAGTATAATAATGTTTAAACTAATTGTAATTAAGGTTTAAATAAAATAACATGAAATCAAAAACTTTATTAACATTTAAACTTTTAAATAACACATTGCTTATTAAAAAGGGAACGGTATGTAAACAGTGAAAACAGTTCAAGAAAATCACAAAACTATGAGTGAATTATATATTTAAATAGATTTACAAAAATTATAAACTAAATTTCAGTCAATTTTTAACTTTTGATTATCTTTGTCGACAACTTTTACATCATTTTTATCGCCGATTTGTTCATCACTTTTGACATCTTTGGCATCACTTCCCTCATTGGACTCGAGATCTATTTCTGATTGCTTTTCATCCATAAGTACTTTGATATGACTTTTATCGTCCGTCCCGTCACTCCCATCCATATCTACACTCTTTTTCGCATTCATTATAATCTTGTTTTCGACACCATTTCCCTCAATAGGCAGAGCTTTAGATCCAAACCCATTGCCGGAACCGCTGCCGACGTTATTACCCCCATTGCCCAACCCAGTGGTCCAAACACCGGGAGGTTTACGATTAGGCGGCTTTCTATGGGCGGGTATTGGCTGTATGTTCCCAACCACACCATTCCCAGAGCCATCGCCCACATTATTACCTCCATTTCCACTATTCCAACCGGAGTTCCCATTGTGTTTACCAGATCCAAAGCCGTGATGACCACCACTTTTGCCATTTCCCGTATTGTTACCCCGATTATTACCTCCTATCCCGCTATTATCGCCACCAAATCCATACCCGTCCTCATCATCGTAGCTAACGTTCCCATTGCCGACGTTATCCCCAGCGTTATTACCGCCGTTCCCACCATTCCAGCCGTTATATCCATTTCCATTTCCCGACCAAAGTCCCCAATTGTCGCCTCCATTCCCATTGCCCGACCACTCGCCCACATTATTACCGCCAAACCCGTACCCCGTATTACTAGAACCGGGGTTTTCTCTAACACCAGCTCCAGTTCCACCACTTCCAGGCTCTTTGACCCCAGTAGGCCTGACCATCACGTGACTATTAAACGTGTTATCGCCGGCATTATTGCCTCCATTTCCGTTATTCCAACCGTTCAGTCCATTCCAGTTCCCGGACATTATACCGATATTTGTACCCCCGTTCCCATTACCAGCATTACTGCCCACGTTATGACCTCCCGTCCCTCTAGCCGTATCCCAATCGCCATCGCCCTCACCATCGCTACTGCCGTTCACATTATTACCTCCATTTCCAATGTTCCAACCGTTGCCACCGTTATTATTGCCGGAACCGATGCCTATATTCACGCCTCCATTTCCATTGCCATCGCCTCCAACTACACAACCCCTCCCATTAGGGTTAACAGATCCTAATCCCTGTCCACTGTTGCCATTACCAGAAGCAATGGCTAGGTTTAGACCACCTTGGATATTGTTCCAACCATTTTCACCATTATTATTAGCGGCACCCAAACCAATATTAATTGCTGACAATCCCGGCCCCCCCGGAGCTGGCCCGCAATAACAGGCCCTATCGGGCAGTATAGGTCGATTGAGAATACTGGCCATGGGTTTGGTCAGTGGTAGGGCTTTGTCGGCATCGGTCTCTATGGGCGCCGTATGGTTCTCCAACATGTCGGGGCTCAGTATCTCAATCATCTCCATACGGGTGCAGTTAATCGTCCGGTGCTTATACCCGAAAAAGTTAATCTCATCAAGTTTTAAGTCCTTCACGGGCCTGACATAGTCGCACGTGGATGTCCTGGCTGTCTGCCTGTCCCTATCCACCGCACCGCTGACCAGATATAGGCGACCCTTTTTGAACGCCACTCCACACGTGTCCTGTGAGCTCCATATGATGTTGGAGTCGAGGGCTTGGGCCTGACCCTCGTCTAGTTTGTAGGTGTGCACCAGTTTGAACCGGTAACCCACTCGCGTGTTGAATGAGCCGGGTATGGCCGAGAACAGCCTGTCCGATATGATCATGATTTTGATGATGAAGTTTGAGTTGCAGTAGTGATGAACCAAATTGTCATTACTTTCGCACTCGTCGTCTACGCATAGGAACTGCGGGTTTAAGGGTTGAGTGCATACACAGCATAGGATTGTAGGCAACTGCAGGCTGAACACTGTCACCAGGGTTAGGATTTTTAGCAGTAAAAGTAGCATGTTTACAAATTAAGTGATGCTAATGCAATTAAGTTTTGTAATTCGTGGCACTTATTAATTATCTTAATGTTTACTTATGAATCTTATTAATTGATTTTTAATTTGAAATATTTAATTAATTAAGAAATTATCTCGACCCTATTTTTTGTTTCATAATTCATAATTTTTCTGCACACAAATATCTAATTTAACACAACAGTTGTTTTCACAAAAACAATATATTTCATTATATAATGTAGTGTATGGTAACATAATTTTAGTTAATGATTCAATTAATTGGTGTTTGATTTTGACACAAATAATTTTTTGCTGCAATATTTTTTATAGTGTAGGTGCAGCATATGGAATATTCTGGACATTTTTATTGTAGTTCAGCCCTGGTAGTATATAATTTTTGTTTAAACATAATAGGGTTATAGTTTGTTATTTAATTTGTTGTGCATTTGGAAAATTAATAATTTTGTTGCCCTTGTTTTATTTGCATATGAAAAACATTTGGGCCTTTTTTCAACATTATAATCACGATCATGTATAATATAACCCGGTTTATAAGTAGAACAAAATTAACTCAATTTTTAAATTTTTAACTCTCAGTAATTTATTTGACTTTTGTTTACACATTTTTCAGCTTTTAATAAAATTTATTTAAATAGATTTATGAATTTAAATATAATTTATACTCTACGATAGTATTTTATATTGAATCAATACTGTATAAACAACCTCTTATAAAATAACTATTGTTTTATAAAATATTTTTATGAAATATCTATGTATACTGTCATATTTCATAAGATAAATAAAATACATTTAAAATTTATTTTTATAAATGCACCCTGGATGATCTCATATTATTTAGAGCAATCGTATCATAAAATATCACATTTTATCGCAAATGATATGCATTTGTTTACCAATCAGTGTCAAAACTTTACAGATTTAAGGACTATTGATATAACAGTTAGTGTAAGGAAACGCATGTTTTAGTAAAATATATTAATTAATGATTAATCGCAGACATTCATGTTAGAGATAAATTATTTCATAACTGTCCAAAATTGTATATTTAGTTTAACTTTATAGCATTCAATACATGATTCAATATACCCTCACCTTGTCTACCCTTGGGTTTAGTAAAACAAACCGATTTCTATCAAAATGTGAACTCAGTTTCAATCAAATTGTTAATATTTTTGAGATAAGGTAGTAATTTTTGTTAACAGTATAAATATTGACCCAGTGTGAAATTTTATACAAGTTATCAACTAATTTACCATTTATGTGTATGTTTTACATTTTAAACAATAACTGTAATTAAAAATAAAGTCAATATGAAAATGACTGAATATATCATAAATCCTGAGTTTACTATAGAAAACAAACTTAACTATCAATCAGTTATTGAATTACTTTGCGATCGACTAAACACAGACTCACATCACAATTGTTTTGTAAGTAAAACAGAAATATTTATAAATATAAATTTATATAACTTTAAATACTCAACACATTTCAAGTAGTGTATCTAAAAATTAAATTTTATTTACAAAATAACAGATTGACTGCACATTAGACCGAAAGTGGAGCAAAAACCAAGTGTTGGACTCGAGTCTCAATTTTGCCTATTATTTGATAAATGACTGCAAAATATCAAAAGGAGATGTCATTTGTTTCATCACAAACTCGTCGGACATTCAGGCAATCGGTTTCATCGGCTCATTGGCCGCAGGAATGGTATTCTGCTGTCTGGCGGAGCACTCATCGCAAGGTTTGACCCAAACATTGTAATCACATTTAATTGAAAGTTGTTTTAACGTTAAAAACTTATACATCAATAGATGAAATCAAATCAAACATCGACAAACTTAAGCCATCAGTTGTGGTATGTTTCCCAAAGAATCAAACTCAATTACACAAAATATGCAGTGGACTAACATTTATCAAGGTAAAAACAAATACTCAAATCAATCCCTTGGGTTAGAAATTAATCTCAAATTATTTTTAACTAAAGAAACTCCTAATAAGTGACAAACAATCAAAACCGGACGCCAATGGAAATACACTTCAATCACTTGAGGAGATATTTTGTGAACCAAGAGATGATAGCATAGTATTACCGGTGAAGTCGGGTTTGGATGAGACGGCAACCTATGTCTTAAGCAGTGGTTCCACGGGTCAGCCCAAGGCTATCATCAAAACTAACAGAAACCTATTGACAACGGTTGAGGCCCTTCAACACCCGGAGATGACTGAGTTGACACCAAATGAGATTCAGTTATCCAGTAACTTTAGTCACGTGTCGGGGCAGAGGTACCTCATATCTGCCATCAATGGTGGCGCACAGTTGGCCATTGTTAGAGTGGATGAGAACCTGGATGATGTTTACGGGAATATACATAAATACAACATTACCAGTGCTTTCCTAATCCCGACTCAACTCAATTATTTAGTCAAAAATGTTGAGACTATTGACAGGGATTACCTCAAGAGCCTAAGGGATGTGGTTACAGGTGCAGCACCTGTACCCGAGACCACTTTCCGGTGTGTTGTTGATAAGTTTAAGTTTAAAAAGTTTAGGATTTGTGAGTAAAAACATATTTATATTTTAAACCCCTTATGTAATAATAATAATAAAATGTTTTTATTTTAAACATAGGTTACGGTATGTCAGAGGTAGGGTGGACCACACAAACTCCTGTCACGCAATTTATAGACGATTACACATGTGTTGGAAAAATGTGTCCGAACACACAAATCAAAGTAATCGATGATCAGGGACATTCATTGCCAGCTAACACTAATGGTCAGGTGTGCATAGGAGGTCCTCAGGTAAGTTCTGCGAACTGATATATTATTGAATACACGTTACATAAAAATACACCCGTCTATAGGTCACACCAGGGTATCTAAACAATGCTGAGGAAAATGACAAACTTTTCACCGCCGATGGATTCCTCAAGACTGGAGACATTGGCTATTATGACGACAATCACTACTTTTATATTGTCGGCCGATCTAAGGATGTCATTAATGTTGAGAGTATGTCCACCTCGACATCAAACTTTTCACCGCCGATGGATTCCTCAAGACTGGAGACATTGGCTATTATGACGACAATCACTACTTTTATATTGTCGGCCGATCTAAGGAAGTCATTAATGTTGAGAGTATGTCCACCTCGACACAAAAATACTGAATTAAAAATATTTGTAACATTAATTGTATTTTATACACAATTGTGAACCAAAGGGTCGATTGTAATGCCGGCGGAGATCGAGAATATTCTGTTGACACACAACGATGTCGTCAATGCGGCCGTCTTTGGGGTGAAGGACGAGGAAAGGGGTGAAGTGCCCATGGCTTTCATCACACGTGCAAATGGGGCTACAGTTACCCCACAAGAACTCATAGATTATGTGGACTCGAGGGTCAACTACTATAAGAAGCTAAGGGGAGGGATCCGAGTATTAGATGCCTTTCCATTGACTTCATTGAAAAAGATTAACCGGGGTGTGCTTAAGAAAATGCTTAGTACTTAAAATACAAATTTGATTGTACTTGTTAATAGAATTATATTTTGTAAACCCAGTTATAATTAATATTAAATATTTATAAAATGATTACTTTTTAATATAATCATAATTTCCATTTATTTTAATCAATATTTATACAAATTATTACTTTAAAAAAATAAAATTATTTCTCATTGTTAATTCTATTAAATAATTTAAATAATAAAGTAAGTAGTAAGAAATAATGGCTGTGCAAATATTTCTAGCAATTTAAATATATGATAACTAGTACCTATTTTAAATTGATCTTTCTGGTTTAATATGACATTTTATCACAAAAGATATGCATTTGTTTACCAATCAGTGTCAGGACTTTACAGATTTAAGGACTATTGATATAACAGTTAGTGTAAGGAAACGCATGTTTTAGCAAAATAATATTTTATATTATATTAATTTATGATTTATGGCAGACATTCATGTTAGAGATTGGGTTTAGTAATACAAACCGATTTCTATCAAAATATGAACTCAGTTTCAATTAAATTATTTTTGAGATATTATATTAATTTTTGTTAATAGTATAAATATTGAACCAGTCAAATATTTTTATTCAAATTATCAACTTCACAATTGTTTTTAATTTCAACTAGTATAATTTAAATAATAAAATCAGTTCAGCTATAATTAAATTAATTCAATATAAAAATGACAGAATATATAATAAATTCGGAGTTTACTATAGAAAACAAACTTAACTACCAATCAATTATTGAATTACTTTGCGATCGACTAAACACAGACTCACATCACAATTGTTTTGTAAGTAAATCAAAAATAATTTTAAATATATCTGTTTAAATACTCAACACATTTCAAGTATTGTATCTAAATATCATATTTTGTTTATAAAATAACAGATTGACTGCACATTAGAGCGAAAGTGGAGCAAAAAGCAAGTGTTGGACTCGAGTCTCAATTTTGCCTATTATTTGATAAATGACTGCAAAATATCAAAAGGAAATGTCATTTGTTTCATCACAAACTCGTCGGACATTCAGGCAATCGGTTTCATCGGCTCATTGGCCGCAGGGATGGTCTTCTGCTGTCTCGCGGAGCACTCATCACAAGGTTTGACACAAACATCAAATCTAATTAATAATTGTTTTAATGATAAAAATATATCCATCAATAGATGAAATCAAATCAAACATCGAAAAACTTAAGCCATCAGTCGTGGTATGTTTCCCAAAGAACCAAACTCAATTACAGAAAATATGCAGGGGACTAACATTTATCAAGGTAAAAACAAATACAAAAATCAATCCCATGCATTAAAAGTCAATTTCAAATTATTATTAACTAAAGAAACTCCTAATAAGTGACAAACAGTCAAAACCGGTCGCCGATGGAAATACACTTCAATCACTTGAGGAGATATTTAGTGAACCACGAGATGATAGCACAGTATTACCGGTGAAGACGGGTTTGGATGAGACGGCAACCTATGTCTTGAGCAGTGGTTCCACGGGTCAGCCCAAGGCTATCATCAAAACTAACAGAAACCTATTATCAACGGTTGAGGCGACTCAGCACCGGGAGATAGCGGAGTTAACACCAAATGATATAATGTTATCCAGCAATATATGTCACATATCGGGTCAGAGATGTTTGGTGTCGACTATTACTGGTGGCGCGCAGTTAGCCATCATAAGAGTGGATGAAAACCTGGACGATGTCTATAGAAATATACACAAACACCGCATAACCAGTGCTTTCCTAATCCCAACACAACTTAACTATTTGGCCAAAAATCATGAGACTATTGATAGGGATTACCTGAAGAGTCTAAGAGATGTGATGACCGGCGCCGCACCCTTATCTGAGTCGACCTATCGATGTATTGTCGATAAGTATAAGTTTGAAAAGTTTAGAAATGGTGAGTTATTTTTAATTTGTTATACAATTCTGGTTTTAAAATAAAAAAATATATTATATTTATCATAGGCTACGGTATGTCTGAAGTTGGGTTTGCAATACGAACTCCCATTTCGCAGCCGGTAGATAGCCATACAATTGTTGGCAAAGTGTGTCCCAACACACAAATCAAAGTAATCGATGATCAGGGACAATCACTGCCAGCTAACACTAATGGTCAGGTGTGCATAGGAGGTCCTCAGGTAAGTCCTGCGAACCGATATATTATTGAATACACGTTACATAAAAATACACCCGTCTATAGGTCACACCAGGGTATCTAAACAATGCTGAGGAAAATGACAAACTTTTCACCGCCGATGGATTCCTCAAGACTGGAGACATTGGCTATTATGACGACAATCACTACTTTTATATTGTCGGCCGATCTAAGGATGTCATTAATGTTGAAAGTAAGTGTACCCCAACACAAATATACTGAATGAAAAAATAATTTTGTTGTAACTTTAATTGTATTTTATACACAATTGTGAACCAAAGGGTCGATTGTAATGCCGGCGGAGATCGAGAATATTCTGTTGACACACAACGATGTCGTCAATGCGGCCGTCTTTGGGGTGAAGGACGAGGAAAGGGGTGAAGTGCCCATGGCTTTCGTTACACTAGTTAAAGGGGTTACTGTTTCACCACAAGAACTCATAGATTATGTGGACTCGAGGGTCAACTACTATAAGAAGCTGAGGGGAGGGATCCGAGTGTTGGATGCCTTTCCATTGACTTCATTGAAAAAGATTAACCGGGGTGTGCTTAAGAAAATGCTCAGTACTTAAAATATGAATTTGGTTGTAAAGTACTTGTTAATTTATATTTTGTAAACCCCTTAATTTATGATTAAATTATTTTAATATTATCGTACTTTAAGTTGCTCATAATTTACATATATTTTAATCAACAATATACATACTATAGTATATATTACATAATATCGTAGTACTGTAATAAAATAAAATTATTGAACATTATTAATTTTATTAAATATTTTTAATAATAAAGTAAGTTGAAATCATACATGGCTGTACATGGGTTAATTATTATTTTTCTTGAAATTTAAATATTTGATAGCTGGTATCTATTTTAAATAGAGCTATCTGGTTTAGTACTTCAATGCTAATTTAAGAATTATAAAAAAACTTCACTTTTTTCATATATTTATACTTTTACACCAAATCAAAACTTCGAGATTTAAGATAAATTATTAAATAATATTTATTTATTGTTTAATATACGGTATAATGTTGCAAAAATATTTATATTAAGTTTATTTTAAAACACAAAAATTAAAAAACCGTCATAACAAGTCTAGCCTAATATCCCAAACAAATACACTCTACTTGTATAAAATTGTGGACTTAGTTTCAGATAAGATATTACTTATAAATTATAATAATATGATAATATAAATAATAAGTGTGCACAGTTTATATTAATTAAAAATTAATAATTGTAAATAAAGTTATAGATATTAGTAGATTTTTTGAAATTATTTCATTTAAAAATGTCTGAATATATTTTAAATTCAGAGTTTTCGGTCGAAAACAAACTTATTTTTCAATCCATAATTGAATTACTATGCGATCGGTTAAACACAGATTCAAATAAAAATTGTTTGGTAAGTAAATTATAATTTTACCGTATAACAAATACAAACACTATTATCAGTAAACAAGGTATAATATAGAATTTAACAATTATTTTATTTACAAAATAACAGATTGACTGCACATTAGAGCGAAAGTGGAGCAAAAAGCAAGTGTTGGACTCGAGTCTCAATTTTGCCTATTATTTGATAAATGACTGCAAAATATCAAAAGGAGATGTGATTTGTTTCATCACAAACTCGTCGGACATTCAGGCAATCGGTTTCATCGGCTCATTGGCCGCAGGGATGGTCTTCTGCTGTCTGGCGGAGCACTCATCACAAGGTTTGACCCAAACATCAAATCTAATTAATAATTGTTTTAACGTTAAAAACTTATCCATCAATAGATGAAATCAAATCAAACATTGAAATATTTAAGCCATCAGTCGTAGTGTGCTTTGAAAAGAACCAAGTTCAACTGCAAAATATTTGCCATGGTTTAGCATTTATCAAGGTAATTTCGTTATTAAATCTTATGATACTTGGAAATTAAAATATTCATTATTTTCAGAAACTCCTAATAAGTGACAAACAGTCAAAACCTGACGCCAACGGAAATACACTTCAATCTCTTGAGGAGATATTTTGTGAACCAAGAGATAATAGCTTTGTATTACCGGTGAAGACAGGTTTGGATGAGACGGCAACCTATGTCTTGAGCAGTGGTTCCACGGGTCAGCCCAAGGCTATCATCAAAACTAACAGAAACCTATTATCAACGGTTGAGGCGACTCAGCACCGGGAGATAGCGGAGTTAACACCAAATGATATAATGTTATCCAGCAATATATGTCACATATCGGGGCAGAGATGTTTGGTGTCGACTATTACTGGTGGCGCGCAGTTAGCTATCATAAGAGTGGATGAAAACCTGGACGATGTCTATAGAAATATACACAAACACAACATAACGAGTGCTTTCCTAATCCCAACACAACTTAACTATTTGGCCAAAAATCATGAGACCATTGATAGGGATTACCTGAAGAGTCTACGAGATGTGATGACCGGCGCCGCACCCTTATCTGAGTCGACCTATCGATGTATTGTCGATAAGTATAAGTTTGAAAAGTTTAGGATTTGTGAGTAGTTTTTAATTCTTTTATACACTTTTGGTTTAATACTTAAAAATATATTATATTTATGACAGGTTACGGTATGTCTGAGGTAGGGTGGGCCACACAAACTCCCATTTCACAGCCCGTAGATAGCAATACAATTGTTGGTAAAGTGTGTCCCAACACACAAATCAAAGTAATCGATGATCAGGGACATTCACTGCCAGCTAACACTAACGGTCAGATTTGCATTGGAGGTCCTCAGGTAATAGAATTAAAATAACTTTTGGCTAATCTATTATTATTTAATATCTTTCACTGATTAATAAAATAAGTTATTAGTAATAATCCGTTATAAATTAAATCTCATATACATGCTTATAGACAACACCAGGGTATCTGAATAACCCCGAAGAAAATAGTAAGCTTTTTACCAGCGATGGATTCCTCAAGAGTGGAGACATTGGCTGTTATGACGAAAATCACTATTTTTATACTGTCGGCCGATCTAAAGAAGTCATTAATGTTGAGAGTGAGTGTACCTGGACACAAATATTCATTGATTATAAAATTTAATGTGATTTTATATAAAAATCTGAACCAAAGGGTCGATTGTAATGCCGGCGGAGATCGAGAATATTCTGTTGACACACAACGATGTCGTCAATGCGGCCGTCTTTGGGGTAAAGGACGAGGAAAGGGGTGAAGTGCCCATGGCTTTCATCACACGTGCAAATGGGGCTACAGTTACCCCACAAGAACTCATAGATTATGTGGACTCGAGGGTCAACTACTATAAGAAGCTGAGGGGAGGGATCAGAGTATTAGATGCCTTTCCATTGACTCCGATGAAAAAGATTAACCGGGGTGTGCTTAAGAAAATGCTATATAATTAGCATTTGTCTAATTCAGTGCTCATATTATACTAACAATAATTTTTATTATGATAATATGATAATATTATTATGAATATTATCTGAATACCATATAAATATTGCTTTTATATAAATATATTAATATAATACATTAAAAATATTTTCAAGACATTATTAACAAATGTAACAATAATAATAATAAACAATAATTCAATATATTTTAATACATAATTACAATACTGTATATTTAATACTGTAGCTTCTTTGTAGTTTAAGCCAATACATGAAAAGTTAGTCGAAACATATGGATAGGTCGGTGCAGAATAAACTCTAGAACATAGACGTCCAAAATTTTAAAAATCCCCAAAATAGTGTTTTATAATAATATTAAAATTTTTAACTATTCAAAACACTAGTATTTTATAATTTAAATGTGACTAAGATTTGTGTTGAAAACATTTTTATTTATTAATCGAATAAAATTATATTTAAATGATTAAAATACAAACTCGTAAGAGATTTCTAAACATACAATAAATATATCTGAGAAAGTAATTATCATATGATAGTATATTATATGAAAAACTAAGCAATATTCATAGGTATTTAAGTAAATGCTACCTTAATCTTTAATTATACTATAAACTTTAAAATACTAGTGTTGTGTATACTCAGCCTAAATAATAATAAATTGTAAATGCATACATCATTAGTTGGTTTCTGGAAACCATATCTGTGCGTCTAAGCTCTAGAAAATACTTTTTAAGCTGTAATTGTAGCAATAACACACATTAACATACAGTAAGTGCTACAATTACAGTTTGAAATGTATTTTCTACACCGACCTATCCATATGCTGAAATAGAGAGTTAGTTAAAACTGTCACCAACTCCCAGATAAGTAGCAAATGTTTTCATCAACATATAATTAGTAACAAAAAATGTGATATATTTATAAAACTCATAGTGAGTGCACACAAACAAATCAAAACAATAAAATCCAATCCTTTTTGCATTCAATTTCTCGATGAACTGCCAAATAGTGAGCCGTGTTTTGACACCAATTGTATGTATAATGAGATACTTATACATAATATTGACCGACTGGTGGGCAGTAGTTGTAAATGAGGTGCACATGAAGTTTATGCCGATTTGTACCCCAAAAATACCGATCCCTGCTATGATATACACGGCACGGATCAGGGGATGGATACCCTGTGAACCAAAGGGTCGATTGTAATGCCGGCGGAGATCGAGAATATTCTGTTGACACACAACGATGTCGTCAATGCGGCCGTCTTTGGGGTGAAGGACGAGGAAAGGGGTGAAGTGCCCATGGCTTTCGTTACACTAGTTAATGGGGTTACTGTTGAACTACAAGAACTCATAGATTATGTCGACTCGAGGGTCAACTACTATAAGAAGCTGAGGGGAGGGATCCGAGTGTTAGATGCCTTTCCATTGACTTCATTGAAAAAGATTAACCGGGGTGTGCTTAAGAACATGCTCAGTACTTAAAATATGAATTTGGTTGTAAAGTACTTGTTAATATATATTTTGTAAACCCCGTATTTTATGATTAAATAATTTTAATATTATCGTACTTTGAGTTGCTCATAATTTACAGATATTTTAATCAACAATATACAGTACATACTTTAGTATATATTACATAATATTGTACTACTGTAATAAAATAAAATTATTCAACATTATTAATTTTATTAAATATTTTTAATAATAAAGTAAGTTGAAATAATACATGGCTGTACATGGGTTAATTATTATTTTTCTTGAAATTTAAATATTTAAACACTAATTTAAGAATTATAAAAAAACTTCACTTTTTTCATATATTTATACTTTTACACCAAATCAAAACTTCGAGATTTAAGATAAATTATTAAATAATATTTATTTATTGTTTAATATATGGTATAATGTTGCAAAAATATTTATATTAGGTTTATTTTAAAACACAAAAATTTAAAAACCGTCATAACATGTCTAGCTTCAATGTCCTAAACAAATACACTACTTATATAAAATTGTGGACTTAGTTTCAGATAAGATATTATTTATAAATTATAATAATTAGATAATATAAATAATAAGTGTGCGCAGTTTGTATTAATTAAAAATTAATAATTTTAAATATAGTTATAGATATTAGTAGATTTTTTGAAAATATTAATTTTAAAATGTCTGAATATATTTTAAATTCAGAGTTTTGGGTCGAAAACAAACTTAATTTTCAATCCATAATTGAATTACTATGCGATCGGTTAAACACAGATTCAAACAAAAATTGTTTGGTAAGTAAATTATAATTTTACCGTATAACAAATACAAACACTATTATCAGTAAACAAGGTATAATATAGAATTTAACAATTATTTTATTTACAAAACAACAGATTGACTGCACATTAGAGCGAAAGTGGAGCAAAAAGCAAGTGTTGGACTCGAGTCTCAATTTTGCCTATTATTTGATAAATGACTGCAAAATATCCAAAGGAAATGTCATTTGTTTCATCACAAACTCGTCGGACATTCAGGCAATCGGTTTCATCGGCTCATTGGCCGCAGGGATGGTCTTCTGCTGTCTCGCGGAGCACTCATCACAAGGTTTGACACAAATAACAGATTGACTGCACATTAGAGCGAAAGTGGAGCAAAAAGCAAGTGTTGGACTCGAGTCTCAATTTTGCCTATTATTTGATAAATGACTGCAAAATATCCAAAGGAAATGTCATTTGTTTCATCACAAACTCGTCGGACATTCAGGCAATCGGTTTCATCGGCTCATTGGCCGCAGGGATGGTCTTCTGCTGTCTCGCGGAGCACTCATCACAAGGTTTGACACAAACATTGTAATCACATTTAATTGAAAGTTGTTTTAACGTTAAAAACTTATCCATCAATAGATGAAATCAAATCAAACATCGAAAAACTGAAGCCATCAGTCGTGGTATGTTTCCCAAAGAACCAAACTCAATTACAGAAAATATGCAGTGGACTAACATTTATCAAGGTAAAAACAAATACAAAAATCAATCCCATGCATTAAAAGTCAATTTCAAATTATTATTAACTAAAGAAACTCCTAATAAGTGACAAACAGTCAAAACCGGTCGCCGATGGAAATACACTTCAATCACTTGAGGAGATATTTTGTGAACCACGAGATGATAGCATAGTATTACCGGTGAAGACGGGTTTGGATGAGACGGCAACCTATGTCCTGAGCAGTGGTTCCACGGGTCAGCCCAAGGCTATCATCAAAACTAACAGAAACCTATTATCAACGGTTGAGGCGACTCAGCACCGGGAGATAGCAGAGTTAACACCAAATGATATAATGTTATCCAGCAATATATGTCACATATCGGGACAGAGATGTTTGGTGGCGACTATTACTGGTGGCGCGCAGTTAGCAATCATAAGAGTGGATGAAAACCTGGACGATGTCTATAGAAATATACACAAACACTATCCAGCAATATATGTCACATATCGGGACAGAGATGTTTGGTGGCGACTATTACTGGTGGCGCGCAGTTAGCAATCATAAGAGTGGATGAAAACCTGGACGATGTCTATAGAAATATACACAAACACAACATAACCAGTGCTTTCCTAATCCCAACACAACTTAACTATTTGGCCAAAAATCATGAGACTATTGATAGGGATTACCTCAAGAGTCTAAGAGATGTGATGACCGGCGCCGCACCCTTATCTGAGTCGACCTATCGATGTATTGTCGATAAGTATAAGTTTGAAAAGTTTAGAAATGGTGAGTTATTTTTAATTTGTTATACAATTCTGGTTTTAAAATAAAAAAATATATTATATTTATCATAGGCTAC